AATTCCTTTGGTCTTGGTGATATGTTCACGACACAGATTTACACATATGAGCAAAACCCATCATGCTCCTTAGCAAGCCCTAACTGTGGATCGTTGTACCTAAGCTGTGATCTTTCTCAAGGTATCGCACAGTGTATGCCAGCGGCGACGGAAGTAAGCAATGCCGCTCCAGTGCAGCCACCACAAGCAGGTTTTGGAGACCAAAATCCATTTGGAGCCACTGGGCCGAATCAGTTTGGACCAGCGCCAAATACAGGGATGGGGATTGGAGGAGGCTTTGGACCGCCAATGCCGATGTTTGGTCGCCGGAAGCGACAAGCGGATAGGAAGAATATCGCTCAGGCCAAGAAAGTATTGCGGGAAAATGCGAGGAACATGGCTGTTCAAAAAGGAACCCACACCTGTACCGGTACCTGGCTATCGTTTTCCAGTCAGAATACTTTCGAAGTTGATGGTGTCAGTGATACCCGGAACTGGGTGTTTATTCCGGTAAAAATCATCAGTAAGCGTTCACCGGAACATAGGAAATTTCAAGCTTTCCCTATATTTGACGGAAGAGCATCCCGTGATTATGACATATATGACCCTGAAGCTTACCCAGAAATAAGTCCATACTTTTCAGAGCAAGTCATGCCATTATCGACTATATGCAATTCACGCGCCACCGATAGGACTGTTGGAAGAGTTCATGTTAGGTCCAATGGACTGAATTACCATGGTAACTACGAGGAATACACTGTCGTAGATCTTCGCCAAGCGTTCTCGGAATCGTCGACCTACATCGCCCTGAAGGATCCGGAAGACGACATGTCGGAGGTAATACTGACGGCGTACGACTCGTGTGGGCGTCGTTGTAAACCCTACTGCCGAAGTAGCGACCCAAAACGCCCGGGCTATCACAGCTGTTCCGGAGCCTTGAGGGTCACCAAAGGCACACCCTGGATGTACGGCAAAAATTACGGAGACGCAGTGCGCATGTCATGGAATATACAAAGTCTTACTGATATTCCAGAACTAAAAGCTGATTATTACTTCATCCAGTTTTACTGTGACCACACCGACTGATGCCTGTCCTACAAAATCATTCTCAGACCTGTCAATTCCTGTTGGTATCATAGTTTTAGTGTTAGGCAATGGAAGGAATTCTGAGGATAACAAGATAAGATTGATTAGGTATGATATATAGATATCATATGTTATTTAATTTTCAAATTAACCTACAAATTATCTTATGAACGCTGATTTCTTGTAAAACAATAATTTTTACACATTATGTATATTTCAATTAATAGAAATCATTAGGCCTAATTTAACATAGATGCTTGACCTACAAAGATTGAGCGGCGCTCTTGTGAAATATAAGCTGGAGTACTTGTAAACTGTATCAGTCGTTATTTGTTTGTTTTATTGTTATATCATGAATTATATCATTGTTTATTTTCATCTATGTTTCGTTTTTTTTGTCCAAAGATAAAGTGGTGATATAGGAAAATACCTACACCCCTAATGATCTTAGCTAATTATATATATATGATAAAGCTGTTAATTTCAGTTTAAACAATGATAAAAATCACATTAGTAATATAACAAATAATCAGTCATGCAATCAAATCAATGTTTTGTAACTTAAAATTAAATGATTCTAAAAAACAGATATGACTATGATACACCCCGGACACCCGTACCCGTCTATGACAATGGCAGGATTTGCTACCTGTGTTCGTTAGACTTGAGCTTCTTGATTACATACTTTGTTACCTTAACTGGTTAGAGTATCACAATTACAGACTTGAGTAACCTTGACTTGGCTATATCAATGACAGACTTGAGTTACTTATACTCGTAAACAGGTTTGAGTTACTTATTCTCATAAGATACTCTGACACGCTCGAGTTACCTGTACTCGTATATGACAATGGCAGACTTTAGTTACTCGTATATCACAATGACAGACTGGCGTTACTCGTATATCACCATGACAGACTTGAGTTACCCGTACTCGTTTATCACAATGACAGTATTGAGGTACTTATACTCGATTATCACAACCACAACAACAGACGAAACCCGATGGCGTTCTGCCATTACAGTTACGAATCAAATATGCAAGTGAGGCTGGTTTGATACGTGTTTCCTATAAAAGCTAAAACTCTGGTATAATGGTATAATATGTTGATCAACTCATGTCTTTTTTGTCATTAAACATTAAAGCTGTACTCTATGTTTTGCCGTAGGATGAAGCTGAAAAAGTCTAGACTTACTATACTAATTGAAGCTCTTTGGAATAAGGAGAGATGAAATGCAAATATTCCTCGAACTTTCCAGTATTAAATGACAAAAGCTTATCAGTACATGAATATTTAAATGTCAAGTTAAATGAACTGGCAAGTCCATGATATGTTGACTTTATTAACCCTGGTATTAAGTTCAGCTTGACATGCATTAATATAAGATCATATGTTTTCATAGTAATACTGTGGCAGTCCACCAATTTCACAATAATATTATCTACCAAAACATAATTCATGTGGTCATCCTGTGTGTGGTTTTCAAGAAACCATCTGATTTCAATATTTTTTCGTCTGTGCTTTGTAATTAAGAAATTCGGACTGTCATATAAACACTTTTGAGATGTTGTTAAGTTTAAATTCTAAAATAAACTTCTTTATAAGGTGACACACACTGAGTTGAAGACAAACCTCATAATAGAAATTGATTTTCGACAATGATGTCGATTCAATGTTCTCTAGAATTCCATCAGCATCATTACGAAAAAGACCAATAAACAGCAGTGCCCTTATGTAAATGGATATATTATTGTATGTTTTTCATAATCTTCATCAACAATCGATAAAATAACCCATTGTTAAATACTTTTAATCTGAACTTCATCACTTTTCATGCATTTTTTATCGTTGTCCGTGGTAGTAATAGTGTTAACACTTGTTTTACAGTTAATGACTAATGCCTCCCGATGTCTGCGAGCTTTTGGAGTGTACGTCTCGAAGCTTGCTATTGTTAACAAAACTGTTTTTATCCGTGATGACAAAGCCAATATTATGATGCTGTACGAAAGACCAGTTAATTGAGTTTAAGTATTATTTTAATCTTAATAACAAAAGCTTTAGTTAAATAACATTACATAAATGAATGAATAAATAAATAAATTGATAAAACAAAGAACGAAAGCCATAATACGAAATATAACTCGATGTAACTATGGTGTAAGGTCCACACCGAACAGATATGTAGAACGTGTAGAATAGTGAATGATAAAGTGAATGTTTTGGTAACAGTTAATCAACCTACCGACATCCCCGCTCAATGTACTTCCGGTATTGGTAACCATTTTTATTAAGATTTAGGTATCGTATTTTATGTTTAATTGAAAGGTAAGACCTTAATAAATATGTATTTCTATGTCTATGGAAAGTGGAATATAATGTCATCTGGTCCGAATGTGAAGCTTACCTTATAGCTGTTCTCAAGGTCAGTTATAGAAACAACATGAGGTCAAACTTATAATGCAATACCTATGAGTGCGACTACGTCGTATAATTGCAGAGCTACATTGTAAACACGTGCGCGAAAGTTTGCCTTTATTCGGGTTAGACAGAAAAGAGAACTCAAACCAGAAAGATCCAAGTTAACTAATACAAGAACCTACGGTTACATACACTAGCTATTTTCAAATCATTACAATATTGTTCGATTTTTTAATTGCGTATCAATGACATAACCATTTGGACTATTTCTATATATCTTTTGAAATGTAACAATACTGTAAGATCTATGAGCATCATTGTAAATTTATTTCAGCCACACAACAAACTCCCAGGAGAACACAATATAAGAAACCATTACACGGCTACATCAGTATAACAGTTTTCGTATCTGTAAGGGCAGAACTGATTTGCATATAGAAAAACAAAAACATTCTGTGCATTATTTTGAGTTCGGAGGTATTTGACATAACTGTTACCTCATTAAATATAAATTGATCTACATCTGTATATTTATATTACGGCTGTAAGTGATTCTTACATTTGGTTTATAATAATATTGATATGTTTATAAAGTTTATCATGGTCAAAAACAGGGATAAAAGATTGCTGCTGTTATAAAGAGACCAAATAATAGAAATCTATTTAAAGCACATTGCATGGCTTCCCTAGTGTCAGGTGATACTGAATCCATATGCATGACGTTCCAGCGACGCTCATTCGCATCATTCATTCCCTTTGTTGAGGGCAGTCTAGATAGTTTATTGGTTCATATGATATAGAAAACCCAAGCGTCTATTGTTTCTTTCATAGAAAGCCAGTTCATTATTCTATTAGGTAATAACTTGGTATTATCAAATTATTGATTTATTGATATTAAAGTGAATGCCAAAAATAACAATTTGATTGTTTAACATGTAATATACTACCTGTGTATTGCTCTCACAGACAACGTTGGCGCCCAATAGAGTTCGCGCTGGAACCGTTATTATCTCTGCCTATCACAGGAAAATCTATAATGGCTATCTTGCAAAAAACGTTGTGTTTATCTCCAGGTTAAGAGAGCGTTACATGATTATATATTCCAGCTTTTATTACAATCTGGCCAAAATTGTAAAAGTTATAGGCCGGGTAAATCTTGGTCAATCAGAAGCGGCAGCGTCCTTGGATGATGTCTGATCTGAAGGTACATATGCCATTTAATAATCATGTAAAATTGTATTAATATCCATAAAATAAAAGTCGGCGAAACGGAACGAAGTGAATCTTGAGAACAGAATGCAATGAAAACGCGAATGAAAAGGAATGAAACGGATTGTAAACGCACAATCTGTCAACTGCTGTCACCACTGTATCAGCAAGTAAGATATAACGGCGGTAATGTTTAATAAACAATACAATAAGAATAGCTATATCCCCATTAATACAATGTGTACTCATGTTCATTTTCATTATGTTTTGACAAGTTGCAATTGCCTCATCCAATCATAGGCCTGTCCAAGGCGACATCTTGCGAAAATGTCGGTTTTGTAATTTTGTCCTCTCGTAAGCACTCTTTCACTTTAACTAAAATCAACAAAATAGAGCGAGATAATTGCTCGATATGATCAGCCAATCAGAAGGTGCGTCTGAGAAACGGCCTATTGCATATCTTAACCTGCTCACCTTACTTATGTTCGGTCGAGCAGCAAATATCTGAGACTTAATTCAGGCAAGTTCACGGCGGAATAAATAATTATGATAATGATAACAACAACGAAAACGAAACAGATAATAAAACAGCATTTTTAATGATAAACGGATCAAACCATAATATTCTTCAAATACTTTGATGATGGAACAGAATACAAAATCGATTTTTTTGACATAATACAAGTTTACAGTTATAAAGTAAGTAACAAGTGTGCATAGTTATGTAACTATATTGAACATTTAAGATTCAAGAAGCTTTATTTAACGTCGCATATACATGTTA